CATCTCATATCCCAAACAGATAAGGCAAAGATACAAAACTCCCTAAAGTAGGACAGGTATATCAGGAAACAACACCAGTGAGATGCCAACACAGAAACACCAACTAGTATTTCTATACTTTCTTCTACATGGGGACCTGCAGAAGCACAATGAAGTCTATCAGGTCCCCAGACAATCATCCACATAGATTATCTGCCAGGTCCTCCTCCTGCTTATCCCTGCCAATTGAAGTCACCTTCATATTATCCTGTCTGGGTCTCAACCAAGCAGTTTCTCCCTCATTCTTGTCCTTCAAGACAGAGAGGGAGCAGGGAGATGATGTAAGCTGTTATAGAACATGCACTGGATTTGCTAGTCTATCTTTTGTGGAGCTGCCCAATTAATCATACCATCAAGCTTATGAAAATAACACAGTAGTAAGAAATTGTTTAGAAGGTTCTGTTCCTCATTCATACATCTGGCTTCATTAACTCATAAATTGTGACAGTTTCCTATAAACTAATGAATGAACCACTAACTTAGGACATCTTTCATTATCATAAAGTTATTTCCTGCCTGCTTAATTGAGCTCAGAGAGCACTCTAGCAGAAGGAAAGCAGAAGCAGACCCTCTTGGGAAGTGATAAATGCCAGAGGCCGAGGGGTATTCTGACAGTTTCAGCAGAGCTAAACACACTGGGTTCCCTCTTTAGCAGGAATAAAGAGCCTCAGCTGGTCTGGGAGGCTGGAACAGGGAATTAAACTGTAGCAGCATCTGTGACTAGCAGAAGTATCTGTGTCTTCTGTATCCAACAGGTCTAAACTTCCACTAAGTTCCACTGTATAAAACCAGAGAAAGAAATTTCCACAGTGGGCCTAATTATTGACATAAACCCAAGACTAATTTTACATGGAGGCGTGTAGGCATCAGCCTTCTTAAGATTAACATAGCAGGTGCAGAACTGTCCACCAAGCTTTGCAGTTTGGGTTATTAATCATATGGTTCCAAGAAATAGAGACAGAAGAGTATTTTAAGAGCAGAAACATTCATGACACACAGAAACAAGAAACAACCATATTCTGTTAGCATAGACAAAGCCTAAAGCAACTGACTGGAGAAAACGATTCTTTCCATTCTGCCCACTAAGTAGGGCAAACCTTTTCTCCCCCTTCGTATCATATCAAAACTTGATGTTCCCAACCATGAGCTACAGCAGAAGGCTATCCCTGCCTCAAAGACTTTTACCTTCTTTCTACATCCTCTCTGGCTTGGTGCTGGTACTTTAAAAATTGTATCTTACCTGGAAGACAGACATAAAGGACTTTATTACCGGCATCTCTATACAAACACACTGCCTTCTCATAAACGGTGAGCTTGCTACCACTGAGTTTCAGGAGCCAAAAGGAAGGAAATATCACCTCTTCAGGGACCCTGCCCAGGGAGTGGTTTGATAATCCCCTGCAGATGAGCTGACCCCACCCTGAAATACCCTCTGTAGAGCAGGCAACAGATTCATCACCTCTCCTTACGGCTCTAACCGATGTGGTATTTAGGCCCCCCAGTCAGGTCTGTATTTCTGCTGCTTCTTTTGACAGTGCTATTTTGAAAGCTGAAGCTGACCTTTTGCCCAGCAAAGTATTTAGGGCCTTCTCAGCCTCTGAAAAACCAATAAGGAAGAATTCAAGTCCAACCCACCTTTAATTTGCTTTATTTACATATGAACTGAAACCTGGAACAGAGGTGGTCAAACACCATCATTCCTGCTTCCTCAGGCTAGTAGTATACTCTTGCCCACATGCAATTTGGCCTCAAAACACTGCTGGTAATTAAGTATCAAAGTGGAGCCCAAGCCCTTCTGTTTCCCACTGTAGATTCCTATTTCCAGGGTCTTGTCTAACCAAAACCAACTGTAACACGCACTGCAAGAATAAAAATAACTCAGACGATTATATATATTAATATTATGTGATGTTATTGACCATAACAACACCATAACATTCCCTTCATTATTCCTCTAAAGGTTTTGCTGTCTCTCCATCACTCCCTCTTGAATGGGTTACTGGGAAAAACGTTGCTTCTCATCAGGATTTTCAAGTTCTTCCACTATAAAGACAGACCACTAGAGCTTTTACATTTTGCCTTTGAATTTTTATCACTACATTGTCCACTTCATAAATCCTCTCCTATAGCAGCACACTCATATCGCCAAGTAGCACTAATAGGAGAGAAGGAATTGTGAGACATGGTAACTTCCGATTTGGTAATACAGACGTGCATACCCCAGGGACATTTGTAAACATACCTGTGAATAAATTCTCATCCTCCCTCCGCTGGTGGTTGCAGTGGAGATACAAATTTTGCCCTCCCAGGTCCTGTGCTGGAAGAGACTTAGACAGGATCCCACAGGGTTCCCAAACAGTCTCCAGCATTTTAGTAGGCTGGAACAGTTTCCAAGCACTTACTGTTTAATCGCTGCTACGCCTCACAGAGTACCTAACTGTTGTTCCCTTTTAACTTACATGAAGCAGATGGCTAATGGATCAAGTCAAGGTCAGGGAAGGAGTCAGGTTTGAGAAAAAAAGTATTTGTACCACCAGATCCTCTATCCCAAACCGATGGTAGTAACAACACTTTGTGTTAAGTGCATTTCTGATAGTGTGTATTGCTGATTTGTATGCTGACATGGCTATGAAATTGAACAGAGCCTCTAGTCATATGGAACAACTCCCCTGCCTTCCTTGGTGAAGCAAAAATGACTAAAGAGACAAGCCTTTCCCAAACCATTCAAACCCCTCTATGTATTAGGTAAAAGAACTTCTATTATTAACAGAAAAGAAACCCTAAACAACCTCAGAAGCATGCTGGTGGTTTCCAGGCTGAAGGACTTGATACTGTGTGAGCTGTTTAAGATGAAAAAGGAGCATTTGATATGAGAGAAGCAAAAAAAGCTGGGAAGAGGCTGAAATGTTTATAAAGCCAGAGTTCTGGCACTTAAATTTGGTGCTGAATAATATCCTTTTCGAAATGGAATTTCTTTTACGAATGGAAAATAAATCCCTTCGAGACTATACCTGGATTTTTTTAAGCACAATGCAGTTTGTCAAAAGGGGTACAGAAAGGGATCAATTCCAGCTACTCTGTGTATTAATTTCACCCAAGTAAACCAACAAAACTCCTGGCTATGAAAGGAAAGTGATAATAATTCTTGAGGCTGCTTTTCAAGTGAGTATTACAAATAAGAAGGCTAAAGCTGAACTATGACATTAGAAACTTGAAAATTTACTTTTTGTCATGGTCTAAAGAGGAAACCATAATAAAAGCACCTCTTTCCTGTTAAACTAGAAGCCTAAACTTCTTAGTCAGTACTTTTTTTTGGTTGGGTTAGTTCAGCTTCCCAAAATGAAGAGCAGTGAGACAGGCCTGTTGTAAAGACAGCTTTGTGCCAGCAATAGAGTTTGTGTATTTGTCATCGAAGTAATAATGACTACACTTTCTTTAAAACCCTAGGAAAATACGCAAGTGTCGAGTAGATTCAAAGAGTACATGGTTCCATGGAAGTGCAGCACATCTCTAAAAAGAAACAGCCCACAAGCAGCAGAGCCTGAGAATCAGGGAGGTGAGAGTCCATGCAAAACAGAAAGAGCTAAAACCAAAAATTCTTATCACAAAGGGACGAAGGGTAAATGACAGTCCTCGCTGGATTTTTGGCCATTTGCTTTTTGCATTTCTCCCATGTGGGTATAAAGAACTACCCAAGCTTCTTTACAGTTTTCCAGTCATGTTCACCATTGGATATCCATGCCTCAATTCAACACTATGAATCAGAATAGCATATGAACATCAGTAACTGAAAAACTTTAGTTGGGAATTAACTTAAGATTAGTCTAATGCTGAAGCTAAATGTGTGTTGAGTGTTTCCCTCTGATGTCAAAGATCTCCAGTCTATGCTATTTTTTAAGGAACTGCACCTTTATTATCAGAATAGCCAGGCAGATGTCCCCACCAATCCTTCCTCTCCTATTGCTCTGAAGAACAAGAAATAAATGATTAATCATATCATAGCAGACGCAGTGTGTTTTCCAGAGAAAGGGAAGACTAAGGGCATGACACATGCAGCACTTCCATCACTATGGGTCAATCATGTTAATTTAGGGAGAAAAATAAAGGTTGTGATGGTCTTATACCGCAATTGCTTCAGAAGAGTAAACTGCAATGAAGTCAGAGCATTTGTAATGTTCATATAAATCACCACCCCCCTGTCAAGTGGGGGTCATATATTACAGGATACGAAAATAAAGTCTCCTTAATCCTGGAGGTATGAGGGGTGCACGGGTCCTGCTACTAATCTATATTTGGCCAGAGTTTGTAACGGTTTCAGCCATACCTTGTGATACAGTATGCCAAACACAAACACACAGACATTATTTCAGCACTAGAGCATGCAGAACAACAGGAAAGAATACTTGCTGTTCATGCTCCTCTACATAGCTGTCCAGGTCCATTCACAATATTGGAAAGCAAAGCTTGGTTATAGGAAGGCTCAAATGAATTTCTGTTGTCTGAAGAGCCTTGATTTCAAAGGGAAAAGAGGGACCATCTCTATGTGGTCGAATGCTGGCAGCTAATTAGTTCTTCCAGTCTGGCATAGCTTAAAGCATTCTAGATTGTTGGCATACAACCTATTTAGCCCTACCCAACTCTGTCTAAAATAGGGCTATATGGCCACACATAAGCATGTTGTGCACTGTATGACTTAGCAGATTCCTCCACACTCTGGCAAGAAATATCTGTTAGCGTTACTTTCCCCTACCAGTCACGTATCTGTATAAAACAGAAGTGGAAACATACTATAGGAACAATACAGTACAAGGCTATATGTAAGGCTTTCAGCCATACATAAGATGTTATATGTCTTACAGAAAAAAATTAAATCCATGTAAAAGCTTTATTTCCATCTGTATTCTACACACATGTACACAGCCAGGCATTTTATGCTTACTCATTTTCAGAAGGGCAACAAGTTGGGAATGCAAAAAAACCCTTTATTAGCATAAAAAGTACATATTCAGTAATCAATACTCAAATTCCTTCCCAGCATCTGGCATGTTTGATACATCTTCCTGTATCTGCTACAGTTGAAGGACGAAGGGATTGTAAGTCCTCAGAGGTTTAGGGTTACAGGGGTGTTGCTGGTGGGTTTTTTTAGTTTGTGCTTTTTTAAGTTATGTAAACAATGCAGGGTGAAACCTATACAAGCAGAATATTAGCTGTCATTTCTACACCTAAAAGTTAAATAAAAACCAATTTCACCAATACAAAAAGCAATATAAAAAACTATTCAATGCATGACATGCATCAGAAGAAAATGTAGGAGGACATGGCAAGTGAACAGATCTTAAAAGTTACTTCATACTGGAAATTCTCTGTAAATAGCTATATGGCTTAACATGAAAAACATTGTAAAATTACTTGGTTCCATAAGAGATCTGTACAGTTGCATCTATTTTAACTTCATTACACACAAATATATTCGACTGATTAAAACAAATAAAAAAGATCATTCAAGTTTTAACATTTCAAGCTGCCTATTTGATAGAGTAACTAGACAGAGGTAGATGTCCAAAATTAGTGGCCAAGCTATTCTAGCAAGACCTTTTAGCTATCTTGTCGAGTTTCTACATTCAAGGCCAATGTGAAAAGATGAAGGATGTCTTTCAAAAAGGGAGCCAGACAACCTGTACTGATGGAAGTAGCTTCAGTTATACTGCTGAAAGTAAAGAGTATGTAAGAATAAATCATTTACCAGACCACTGGATCAAGCACTAAAGCTCATGCAGTTGTTTTAACAAAAGTGAAATTAACTTGCTCATTTCCTATGCTTATTTTAGAAGCTGAACCATTGCTACTAATGTGGCTCCTAACTAGTCAAAATAAGACTGCAGGGTACCACGACGGCGGATATCACACGTCCAGCAATGGAAACCACCTCCCAGGGAATTGGCATGGCGGATATTCACTTTAATTGTAGAAATGCCTGCAAGAAACATACGTCACATACTTTAAAGTTAAAATCTCAAATGCACGTGGTAAGCTTTGATCAGAACATTAGACAATGCTTCAGCAGATCATACGGCTAGATGCAAGTACTGAAAGTATTTCCTACTCCTTTCTTAAGAATTTATTCTCCCAAATTCAAGGCAGAGAACAAGCTAGGAACATGGCTGGCTTGTTTATTCCAGTGATACCCTCAGGAATAACAGCACATGGAGAACAGCCAGTGTTTGAGGTGTTACAATGTGCCAGTAATAAAAAGACAAATTCAGGTTTTGAAGTATGTGAAGAATTAGCTGAAATTCTGCTACAATGTATGAACAACGCACACTTACTTTAACCTGCTTGAGCATTTATGGTTCACACACTGAACGTGCTCTTTCAAGTGCCTTTCAAGAAAAGCAGCATTCAAAATACAGAGCTCTGAATCCTTTTTTCCATGAAAGGGGGAAGAGTCTGTTGTACTTACTACCTCGGTTAAGCTTCCTCCCACTTCTTTTTACTCTGATATTTCAGCTGTGGCTCAGCTTACATGAAGTTCTGCCAGATGGACTAGGATCAGAAGACTTCTCTGTTATGAAGCTTGCCTTTTTGCTTCTTGGTACTTTCAAGAGCTAAGGAGCAGCTCAGTGGAATCCATTATATAGGTCAGCAGTAGTTTTATCCCGAATAGACCCATTTCAGTCCTAGAAACTTACTGACTAAAGAAATTTATCTACAACTGATGCAAAATGTGATGTTCAAGCATGAAAGATATGTCATGATTAGCGTCAATAGCCTCATTTTTAAATACTTTCAAGCATTTATAAATCCTCAGCTCCTTGGTCATGCAGAATATTAACCTAAGACTGGAAAGCTAAGGGATTCACTAATGGTTGCTGGTCTTTAAAAACAGATGAAAGCATTAGATTGCATAGTTCTCACCTGCCATCATCTCAGATTTGAGCGAAGCTTCAGTAAGCGCACTCGCATCCATGGCACCAACCCTTCTTCTAGGTTCACAGCTGCTATCTTCCACCTTGGGATCATTCTCTCCTTCCCATCATTTTTGTCCCTTTAAAGGAGTCTTCTGCTACTGGGGAGTATTATCTTTTACTCTATAACACAATGATTCCCTCACTTCTCTTGACTTTGCATCTACCCACCAGTCTTCTTTCTATCCTGTCAAGTTTCACATCACCATGTACTTATCCAGCAGCAACAGTCAGCTGGCAAGCAGTAGTAGCACCAAGCAACCTGGCCACCTTCCTACTAACCAACTATAAGCCACAACTGTAGATTTTGTAGATCTACCTACATCTTTCCCTCCCAGCATTGTGGAAGTAGTTGGATTAAATGCATGAGTTCAGTTTAAGTGTTTATTATCTGTGTTTGCAGTGAACAGTGCATAAGACTTTCAGATTTTATATTCAATTACTATTCTCCTACCCCCACATATCTAAAGGAATTTCACCCTATCATGAGGTTACATCTCACAGAACTGAAATTCTCCATAAATGAGCAGAAATACATGGGCTAAATTGTCTTAATTTGACAGTTTGAAGTGCGTTGAGTTTGAAACTAGAAAAAACTGATGCATTTTGGCAATGAGGGACAGCCAGCCAGCTAAACATCACTCAGCCTCTCCAAGACAGATCTTGACCATCGAACTGTTTTACATTAAAAAAGCTCATTCAAAAGCATGTTAGCAGTAACTTTAATTGCTACTCATACCTTTATTTGCTGCAAGCTGCAGGGACACAAGATATAAAAAGCACGTATTCCTATGACGAAGTATTCAGGAGAGATATCACTGAATGATTCTTACTTGTTAATCCAATTCTTTGAGTACTTTTTCCAGTGCTAGATGCTTTGACTACTTTAAGCAAAACCTTTGTTCATCCTGATGCACACAGCTGGTATCACAATAATTTTGGTTTAATAGATGTTGAAATATGTTAGGACATACCCAGATTTTCAAACATCTTCTGAATTGATGTCTCATTGGCATCCACCATCACACGTTTCTCATCCAGCATTAGGACATTCATGGAGAGCCATTTAGAAGACATCCACAATGGGTGATCTAAACACATGAGAATGAACCTTCTACTGTACCAATGTTGCCTCATATTATCTTAAGAATACTGTTGGAATTGTTAGAAAAGACAGAGTGAACATACCATCTGGGATGAGTGGCACTGGGGGTTGAATCACAGTCCAGCCTGCTTTCTTGAAGAGCTCAATCTGAAAAAGCAATTTAATTAGAGTCTTAAAGTATCATATAATGTCCTCCAACCTATGTCACATTTTCTCAGGCTACTTCAATATATATGACATCCCTTTCCCTCTGTCCTTCACTACTCTTGCCCTCATTCAAGCTCCATCTACAAACCTCATACAAGTTTTCATACAAGCATTTTTTAAAGCCTTTTCAAACTTTGCATACCACTAGCATTTTCTGCTGGTTTTCTCTATGCTCTTTATACTAAGATATGTTAAAGACAAAAGGTAACACATGCAGTTTGGAGCTTGTGAAGCAAAGATATTAGTAACAGCCCAAAAATACTAAATTCTTTATTTTTTCTATTATTTCTTCCCAGATGACTGTAAAAGCCATTATGAATTACATTGCCAGTTGCAGAAACAAACACACAAGAAACACCACATAAAATTATATTTGCATCACGTTTCATAAGAAAATGTCATTTATTTAACAAAGGGAAGAAAATAAAGTCATTGTATGGACTCATTTGTGTCCCTAAGAATTGCACAATTAAATTAAGAATAAGAGGAGGGTAATTTGACTGAGGAGAATTTTTAACTTCATTATGCGCATACTTGGAAGAGCTCAAGTGTTACCACGAGGTGGAGCTCCGATTCCAAAAACTCAATAACCAGCCTGGCCTGACACGATTTTAAAGAACAGTTTCCCCCCTTTCACCCGCCCCTCTGAAACAGCAGGAAACTGTGGGAAAACAACCGTCACTACAGTGCTGAGAAAGTTCTAAAGTCAAGATGCAAATACCTCTCTAAGTTCCTGAACAACTGAGTGCTGTTTAAATTCAATAATTAAATATTATTCAAGTGCATACAAAATAGATGTGCGGTTGAGCCATTACGCATCAGGGACCTAATCCAGTTGAGTCATTTTTTAAAACAAAACACTTTCCATTCTGCTACACCCTTACCTGATGGCAGGGACGGTCTGGGTTAGAAAGCACAAGGCCAGGTCCAATGATATTAAAAGTGGCATCAATGTGCATAGGGTTAGGATCCTTAAAGGAGATTACATGCACCCTATAGTCTGGTGCAAGATGTCGCCTCATCCATTCAATGCCCATGTAATTTGTAACCTGAAAACAGGACAAAGTAAGTTGCACTGGGCTAGAAAGACTGTATCCAAGCTTAGTTTAAGTTTTATTTAAATTAATATTTTAAGTCAAAAAGGTTGTGCCTTTAGCTGTTTATCTGTAAAGCAGTCCTGTCTACCAGACATTCTACAGATAGCAACTTCTGTCAAAATTCTTATTTTAATGCTGTTCAGGAATCCAAAAAGACCTAAGCACAAGTATCGATCACTCAGATAGCAAAACTGTCGGAAGAAAGCTCTGTTTACCTGGCTCCTTTGTACAAAGATATCTCTCCCAGCTCTAATGAAATCAGCAGCATCAAAACATGGCTCAAATTCAGTAGTTACAAACTTTCCCTGAGCAGCAAGTTTATGCCTGTCTTCAACAGAGTGGATTGGATAATCCTGGTTACAGAAAAAGGAATAGCAGCTTTAGGCTGGAGTTGGTAAGGGAATGTTTTCAAACTATTTGCTCCTGAAAAGTATTTTGAAACCAAGAAAGTATGTTTATATTGATAGCTAGAATGTTCCATTGGTGTGGTTTGGTTACTTATTACTAGAATAAAACAACAATAATAATAATAAAAAAAGCATAAATGTGGAAGTTTAAGTAAAAAGTTTTAAGTACATTCAAGAACAGGTGATAAAGAGTTACACCAAGAAGTTAACTCTCTTCAGAGCTACTGTCTCTATGATACTCTGGGTTCTGGGTCAAAAGTATTTATTGCCAGTGGAGTGGAAGCATCATTCTAAGAAATCACTGCACAGTGGCAGAAATACTGGTATGCAAGCTATTTCCCAAGAAAATATTTCCCTCCTTTTCCCACATTGTAGAATGGAGCACTACATCAAACCAGAAGGGAGATCTTCAGGAATTTAAATAGATTTTAGAGTGAAACAATTCAATTAAGAACAAATGAGGTATAAAAAACCAGTACAAACAAAAACTATTGGATAAGTAGTTTCCATGCTTTAGAACAGGCTCTGGAAGTTTTCTAATACTGACAGATTAAGGTAACTCAATGGACTTCTTCACATCATTGGTAAAATGTCACTGTCCCCAGAAAGTTATAATCATTCCACAAACATTTTTAATTCACTTATTATGGATGCTCTTACCAAGGTCCTAATGCATTTGGGGGACTCTAGGAAACTACCAAAATTGTTCGAGTCAAAGTTATGACAATAGCAAAAAATTAAGGAAATACTTAATTAAATATTTGGAAGGTAAAGATCCTGTTTAGATCCTCCACTACTCCTTTTACGTAACTTTCACAAGTCTAATAACATACAGAACAAAGATTATGAGGGTTTTTTCTGTGACAAAAAAATATATTCTTTCCCATTTTCTAATGCACTTAGGACACATGGACATTCTCAGGAAATCTCAATTCTTTAAAGTACTCTTTGTGATGTCTTTATAGCATTCCTTCCTCCTTAGTAGTGCTAAGTTACAGCCAGTTATCAAAACAATTCAAAGCAGACTTGAATTCAATGGACACAACTTCCTGTTTCTTATTCCTGAATTGCACACACTCAGTTTCAGCTGGAAAGGCTACAGACTATGTGCATACTCTAGAAAACCCACATTTCCAGATATGTTTTGTGTGTGTCCGTCCCACTCTACCTTGTGAAACCTAGATAGTAGATGAAAACTGTCAACAAAATGCTATATAACCAGAACTGAACTTCTGAAGCAAAATGAGAGCAATACCTGATCATAGAGCTCATCTGCCATTGTGGGTTTGGGGGCAGTTGTCCACTTGGCACCCTGGTTGAAATAATCTTTGATTATTCGTCTATATGCTCTATACTCAAAGAACCGAGCACGCCAAGCCATAGGTGCTTCAATGATTTCATTTCCCACCACCAACAGGATGTCTCTTGGCATGGCAGCATACATACCTGAAAGAACAATGGCCATCAGTATTTGAGACAAATATGCTCCCTTCAGCTCTTTCAGCTTATTCACATGTCACCCTCCTTTTCACTATTACCTCTATCCAAGAGAATGGCAAAAAGCATCTGTAGCAAAGTAGGGAAACCACTGCATAATTTGAGGCCCTTACATTCTTCAGTAGGTTTTCCAAGTAATTTTTTTTGTTCAAAATATTTGCAACTTTTGCTACAAAGCCTCACTCACAACAAGTTCATGGCTAGATAAAAGCCATCCCCAATCTGCAAGCCTCCACTTCATACTTGGTTCATGGAAATTAACTAGACAAATGCTTATGAATTACTCAGATGACTAAAAGATGATGATGGGTAGCAAGTTTTCCAAGTGGACCTCATTTCTCTATACACTATCCTTCTAAAAAGTAATAGCACAGAAGAATTTGATGGAACACAGAACTAGTGCAGGAATTAGTCCTGTTAGACTTTTCATTAACAGTGTCTGTTCCTCTGTTCCCTAATAAGAAGACATAGGACATGAAAGGAGCCTGGAGACTAAACCTGACAGAAAGCCAAGTGTGAACCAGTATACTCTCACTGCAAGTAACCAAAGCCATATGGTGCTACACAAGGAAGAACGTGGTCAGTAGGTAAAGAGACATTCAACCCTCCTGGAAAACTAGAGTTTTGACCTTCATAGTTTAAGATGGATCCAACAAAGGGCTATCAACATACTTGGGAGCTGTACAGCAATATGACCTGGGAAAAGCAGTAGAGGGACCTCAGTTTATTTCACATGGCAAGTATGGGACAAAGCAGTAACAGCCTAAGCCACTTTCAGGGCCACTAAACATGACAGATGAACACTTCTTGGTAGTGGCAGTGAAAACATTGCAAGGGAATCTAGGAACAGATGCTGGTGTGGGAAGTTCCGGTTAGGCATCAGGAAAATATCTTTCATTAGCAAATCCATAAAGCACTAAAGGGTCAACAAACCAGGTGGCAGAATCGCCATCCCTGGAGATTTTCCAAGTCGTAGCTACACAAAGCGATCACTGACTTCACCTAGCACTGGCAATAACCCTGCTCCAACAAGACACACAGACTTGATGACATCCAAAATGTGGTAGACACGAGCTAAACAAACAAGGCCTTCGACAAGGGAAGAACATTTACCTGTAGACTCAAAATCAGGCGTTTTATACTTCACAGACCAGTCAATTGGATCAGGCCTCTTGACAATAACACCTTCTCTTTTCAAAATATTGCACATCTCTTCAATTTCAGCAATTGCTTTTTTTAAATGGTCTTTGGGGAAGCTCTGGCCTCCAAATTTCTGATAAAATCCCCAATACTTTTCGTATGTGTTGGCCTAAAACAAAAGGACGGGTAAGTGACAACGAAGTTATTTTGGTAGAGTGAAATAGATGTGCAAGACAATTCTTAATGTTCAAAGTTTCTTATTCTTCTTTCACTGACTTTCCATTATTTACATGCATTACAATCCTAACGTGTCATAGTGTGCCTTATATTTGATTCCTGCAATATTTTGAAGAGTTGCCAAGAATTCTTGAGGTCCAGCTGATAGTTCTAAAATAAAGGGGGGGAGGTGTGGGGGGTGTGAGAAGGAAAAGCATCAGTGCTTCACATAAATGGTTGATTATTCGTGGTTGAGAATCCTATCCTGGTAGTACTCTGCTGTCTTTATGTTTTGTTTTACTACTATTTATATGCACTATTGGCAAGGTTTCACTCAGATGTTTTATGATGTGTATGTGTCCAGTCATTAAACTTATATAAATACAGGTGTTAAGACTAGCTGTGAATGGCTGATGCCTGCACAAATACACATGTAAATAACAAAGTTAATTTCAGCTGTATGTGCTAAGCAGGCTCATTGAACTATCAGGCAGACTTAGTACCAACAGCAGACTGTACATGTGGCATGACACCCAAGAGAAAAAATCCTTTGAGGAACAGCAGGAAAGATGGGAAAGCCATTCTGGAGTGTGGAGAAGTACACATTTCATTTGCGCTTACAAGTTAAATTGGACTTTTAGATGGGATTTTCAGGATATTTCATTTCCTCATATTTTTTGATATAGAAGCAACAGTAGCTTATATCACTTGTTTCTACTGATGGAAATACTATTATAATGTAATCAATATTTCTAGAAGTCTTTTCCCCTCCTTAGCCATAGCCTTACAGAAAACATCATTATTTATCAAATCACAGATGAAACCCAAGAGACTACATTACACTTCAGTTATTATTTAGCGGCTGGTATTGCCAAGTGGCCATGGAAGATTTGGTCCTTATTACATCAGACCTGTACAAACACAGCAAACGCTACAGACTCTGCTATTTAGTAAGAGTAGCAAACATGTTTTTAAATGAAAACAACCTTGAGCATCCAGAAAGCATACATTTGTAGTCACCTCGTTAAAACTTCACTTTGCTACTGTCACAGTGGTGACATGGGGGATTCTAAAGCCATCCCAAGTACAGGCAACATGCCTTGCTGGCTAGAAGGGGCCATACTTCAGGTACAGCAGAAGTCTAGAAAACGTAAGAGATACAAATTCTCCCATCAGGGTTGGACTAAAGCAAGTACAACATTTACAGGCCTAAATCCTCTGCTCCTGAAATCCTGCAACAGTCTTCTTACAAACTAATTCAAGATAAGCTATTGGTTCTCATGGTTAAGAAAATCCAGACATAATCAAAGTAAACAATGGTGCTTCAGTTCAGTGTATTGTTGGAAGTACCTAATTCAGATTTATAAACTATGAAACCAGCAGTTTTGATGGGGCTCTGCTAACACTAACATGACAGAGGAACAAGGGCACATGGAGCCCTTCTGGAATAGTAGCAGAAGGGGTCAGGAACAGATGAGCAAGTTGTCAGGCCTTGCTTCTACCGGATTCCTGCTCATTCAGCCAGCGTCCTTCCTGAAGGAATTAATTCTTCATTCATCCTTCCTGAAGGAATTTGTTCCTTTTCTGTAAGTGAGGTCTTGGGTAATTCAATCACCTCAGACCTTCCAGCTGTTCAGAAGTCACATGCAGATCGTATGAAGTGCCTAGCATTCCTATAGAAGCCTGTTCTGCTAATGAGACAAGTTTGTCCTAAGGCGTAAAGCTAGAGCTTTATTTTCAGAGCCAGCCATGACATACTTGAATTTCATCAGCTCACAAAAGGTACAGCTCCCCTCTTTGCCAAACCTGAGAAATGACACGTGTTGAACAAATACAATGGCATAACGTTAAATTTACTACAGAGAAAGAGATAACACCATCACACCACTCATGTTTCCTACCTTCTGAACAAGTAGGAGGAGGGTATATGACTGGGAAATCTATTTTATTCCAATTCAGGGTTGAGATTTCAAGCCCCTTTGTTTGCACATGTAAAACTCATTTTAGACACTTCAAGAAGTACCATGGCCAGGACACAGAAAAGAGTTTTAATAATCTCAATGCACCTTTTAAACAACTGTCTGAGAACACCTGAGAAACTGTAGCAGCATTTAAGAAAAACTCTTTTCAGAAAGAAATTTAAGAGTATGCTGTAAGGAAACAATTCTCTTTTAACAAGCAGCTCCCTGTAGCTGCTATATATTTTAAACATTTGCTGTGGTGAATAATTAACATTATCAACATCCTGCTAGTCTGCAGGTATGGAACTCAACCTTTCAGACTACTAAGTAGAAAACTACACTTTTTTAAAGTAGTAACCCTACGAAATTTTGAGCCCAATTAAACCTTCAGCAGCCCTACTGTCTCAAAAACTACAGTGCATACTTTGATAGCATCAAGGCTCTATTACTGGAGCAGACTGCACATACTGCACTACTACTGACTTGCTAAAGCCGCTAAATCAGTTGGAAGTGGAAAGAAGCAGCACACATACAACAGAGGTATGCTGTAAAGTTTCACAGATGTAAACAACTACTTTGAATGAAGAAAGAGTCTTTAAGAGTAAACACCACACTGTGTGCACTGTAAAGCTTAAACAGATTTACAGATAAAAGCCCACATTATTTCCTATTAAAGGTTGGGTTATTTACCTTAACCTCCACAGAAAAAGGTGGGACACAAGCATTTTCAGCTCTTCCCACAATGACCTCTTCCAGTGGGTCCCATTCATTGTATGAGCAAACAAGACAGTCCTTAGGCACAGGGCTAGTAGCCTTGTCATCAGCAGCAAAGGTGTTCTGGGAGGCGGTAGCTGCCTGGGTGCTCTGGTAAGATCGCTGCACCCATCCTGTAAAGACTCTTCCAAGCTTAAAATAAAAGTGAACATTATGTTTTCCTTAAAAAAAGGCAAAAAGCAATGGTTCAGTCCACAGCTGCCTTACACTGTAATCCCAAAGCAATCTGCACTATTTGGAGCATTAACAGAAACACTGTTCCAGACATTCCAATTTATTCACAGCCTACTAGATGCTTATGGGACAATTTGCTATTTAAAATCCATTCAGTTTAGAAGGGTGATGACACTAGAAGCACAGCACTTACGGTGGCGACTGAAGCCACTGAACACTGCGCTCCGGAACGGGGAGGATGCATAGGTCAGCCTCAGTCAAAGCCCGCAGCCGCCCCGCGCCCACTCCCCCCTGCCAGCACACCCTCCTTCCTCCTGCACCCGCCGGCGCGGAGAGGCCACACGGGACCTTTTCCCAAACAGAGCATCCTCAACCCCACTGTCCACCCTGCCCCGCGCCCGGCAGCGGATTTGCGCGGCACCAACCCGCGAGCCGATGTAATGCGCCGCTTCGGCCCCGCGGCTTCCCCCGCGGAAGCACCGCACTCGCAGCATGTCTGCTGGCACGACCGCGCACAACTTCGCACCGCTCCGCGCTCACCCCACCGGCAGCGCAACTGCGCCCCGCATCCGGCCCGCAGCCTTTATCGCAGCCCGCCACTCCCCACGCACTGCCCATTGGCTGAGCGGGCGCGGAGCGGCGCGGAGCCGAGCTTGGGGCGGCTGCTGCCGGACGGCGACGGGGCCCCGGCGGGAAGGGGAAGGGCCCCCCCGGCGGCACGGCAGCCCGGGCCGGGGTGCTGGCGTAACTTGGTCGAGAAGAAAGAGCCCCGGCCCGGGCCCCGGAGGCGCGGTCTAGCTGGATGAGGCAATCTCCAACGGCTGCTTTCAACATACCTGGATTTCATTCCCACCAGCGGCGCTTTGGCAGCAGTTTGACTTTGAAGATTTCCAGTCAGGTTTACCATTCTTCTCTAAAAAGTGTACTCAAGTGCATCATTCAGTTATTTTTAGTTATTAAATACACGAAACCTGCAGGACACAGATTCCATTTTACCAAATATTGCAATAATCCATACGTTGAGAATTCAGATTTTTAGACTACAACCTAAAGATTTTGTGATTCACCTGACATATTTTAATTACAGAAGGAGTGTTTCAAGGATATCCCAAACACTTCATCTCAGATTCTGCCTTCTCAAAATCCATATTGCAGTATGATGAAAAGTAACCTTAAAACCTAAACCAGTTACCTGCCAGCAGTCCTATACTTCTCCCTGCAGAATCTCGTCTCCACGACAAAATCAACAGAAGTATCCTCAAAATTATTTCTATCTCAACAGAACTGCAGTCCACAATGAGAAATATTTGCTACCAGCTCTACTCCTTTTAGTATACCTCCCCATACCCTGAAACATTATTCTGCAATTTCTCAGCTTTGCATACAAGTTCACTTTGAAATAACTTGATTTTGTCTTTCAAAAGTAAAAAGCTGCCATAGTAAAAATTACTTTTTCCTGAGTCTGTTTAAAGTTGTAAAAGTTTGCATATTTATTTCAACTTTATTATTTTTGGTTCTGCCTGTATCACCCATGCAGTGCCTGGCGTATCTTCAGCCTTGTTCAATACTCCATCATTATCTGGAGCTAAAACAGTGCGCATGGCTGTGAATAGACATGGTATTTAACATTACTCCTATGTGTAAGATTGCAGGTAGTATTAGTGAACTCGCAGATGCATCTGTAGTAGGAAAGAAATAAACATTACTAGTAGTAACATATATTAAAACATAACCTGTGGTCACAGACTGCAGCAAATCAGGTACAGTTTTAACATGCCTTAGCCATACAAGTAAGCAAGTTTCATTCTACTGGATAATTCATCATTCAGCAGTTCACCTTTTTGGCACAGGTAAACAGTGCACCTTCCCAGGGGAAAAAAAGGACAGTGTAAATTCTCTCTTTATGAATTCACATACTTCTCAGAAAAGTTCATTATTTTAGTTGGCATGATAGCAAGCATCATGACATCAAGCACGCTTTACCCTTTTTTCAGATGACTGCAGAACTTCTTTGTAACTCACTCACTCATCTTGGGCTGTTAAGACTCATTTGTAACATAATTGCCTCAAACACTATTCTTATATTGAAAAGGATACAAGGATTTATTTATTTATTTATTTTCAGTTTTTAAAGGGAGTTTTCTTGATGCTACTTAATTCCTACTTACCAATTTATGTCATTTATTTAATAATAATATTAAACAACTAAGTTTATGCTAGCCCTGCTCAAATGTTTGTTATTTGATTCAGTTGATTTTGCTAAGGTCTACTCACATTGACCTTCTAAAAAAATTAATGATTGGCTTGTTGCTAAATCCAAAGGTCTTGCTTCTTTCTCTGTCCTTTTCAACTTATCAGCTAGTTTTGGACCTTTGGATCATTCTTTATCAATTCAGTTTACATAGTTTTTCTGACTCTGCACAACACTTCTTTTTCTACTTACTACTTATGTTTTATCCTTTACAGGGTCCCTAAAATTGTCCTGGCAATCCTCGCAATGAGCTTTGTGCTGAATGCTCCATCATTTTTTATGTTTTTTCTGGTGGACTGCATTTTTTTCTGCTCACAATTTTTCCAGTGAAAACATATCTCAGGGGTCTGGTTTTTCCTTTCTCAGGGGTAGCTCCTCCTGGACATAAGTCCTGTCTTCATTTAAGTACAGTGAAACCAGAAATTCTTTCCTTTTCCTACTCGCACATTTGTGGTCTGACCTTGAAACCTTCACTCATGGCAAACTATCTTCCTTCCAGCCTTCACTGAGTTACCAGTCATCTGACCCCCAGGGTTGCCATCACATGGGCCTTGATACCTACAATACTATCAATGTCCTGTCTAAAATGCACTGTAGTGGTATCGCTACACTTCTTTCAGCACTTGACCATCTTCTGGGTCACTTGAAAAAAAAAAAATTCATTCATCTTCTTAAAGCAGTTACTTACTTACATGTTTCTTCTTACATCTTTTTATTCCTTAACACCCAATATGAACTTCATCCACTTTGCATTTATGGTGCATTGAAGTATCATTCTTCACACTTCCCTCTTTGGCATCAAAATGAGGGTTCTCCTGCTTTTTGTACACTTTGTATATATAGCTCTTTATATTTTCTTCTTCCTCTTTTGCAAGGGGCTTCATCTACCAATGTACATTTTAACAGTGACATAAATCATAGAGCACACCACCAGTGTTGATTATTCAAATATGAATAAAGGAAAGATCATTCATCCAAATACGAGAAAGTTACTTAAACATGTGTTTGACTAAGAAGGTGCTGAGCTCTTTGGATTAAAACTCTCATTATAAAGATCACATCATTAATGTTATTACACATCACTGCTAGAATTTTTATAACACCCTAAAAGCCCAAAAGCTTGCCAGTTATTTTCAAAATTATATGCTGATCTAGTAAAGGTATTTTCTTCCACTGCAAAACCTCACCTCAGTATGGAATTTTAACTTGAAACAGGAACAAGAGCTTCACATTGCTATTGAGATCTGGCCTACAAAGATTAACTAGCAAGTTATTTGCTGGTTTTTTTTAATGGATTTCTATGCATTTTTTGTAACATTCCATCCAACATTTTTGAATGACATGAGGTGCCTTGCAGGCTTATATAAAAACCATCTAATTCTGATAACTAGATAATCCATTTAAAGCAATGGGGTTAATGAAGAACAATGTTCTGGCCCAAGAGCATTAGAGAATAAGATATTAAGAAGTAAAATTCTTGTTTAAAACCACAAAATTAGAAAAAGAAACAGGAGATAGATACACATTAGAGAGAAGCTACCCTTGGCAACAAGATCACTGAAGATCAAAGTATAAACCTCAGCTATGTTTCAGGACAGTACTGGGTCTCAGCCTAGCTTATCTTTTAACACATATCTATTAGAGAAACAGAAGTCTCAAGGGATTATACTGCAGTTTAAATGTGAGTTTCCCTCTGTCCAGGAATTGAGGTCCTCAATTTCTGTGGTTTAGATTTGTAATGTGGTATAGCAGAATGCCTGAAGCGCTGGAGGGACATGATGTTTAAGGTCAAAGAGCAGCTTATCCTTTCTTTCCAGTATTTCTGCTGTATTACTGATTAGAACAATTTGGTGTAAGATACCTGTGTGAGCTGGTCATAACATTAACATATATTCAACAATTTTTTCTTATCTTACTTTTTGTTTACTTACAGAAACCTACTCTGTTCAACAGGAAAAATGTCAAAGATTTCAGTTCTTTCTATTGCCTTGTCAAGGATACTGCTTGCTGAATTCCAATACCCACAAGAAGAGAATTTGGCATAGCAAACCTTATCTATTAGCTATCAGGAACAACACAGAAGAACCCAGTATGCTTAGAAAGCAAGTTTCAGACTTCCTGAAGCTCAGAAGTCTGGCCTGTTCCAGTTGGGAAGAATAAATGTACCTCAAAATACTAAAATGACATTTTTTTCATTTCTTTTTTAAGCTCATAGTTTTGTAGTCAACTCTGAAAACAGTAAAAATATTTTGTTACACATAATTGAAACAATTTAAAAAGTATTTAACTTGTGACATATAATAAGACCTGACAATCAAAGTGCTGTTTTCAAGTCCTTTGACAGACATTTCAATTTTAATTAAAATGTCAGAAAATTCTTTCTCCCTAATCTCAGCTTCACCAAACCTGATTTAAACTTTAAACTTTCTGACAAACTCTACACGGCTTCTGCCCATTTTATCTTTTATAGTTATTGGAGGACAAATCCTGTAGCTCTCCCCAAATTCTAATTCTGGAGATTTCTTGGAAGATTTTCTGTTCTTTCTTGTCAAGGCATCTTCACTGTGTGACATGCTGACACATTCTTTGTCAGACTTGATGCAATATGCTACAACAGAATTTTGACTACAGAATGAAACATTCCTATGAGTACGAGAACTAAGTAAAACTCTCTTTTTGTGCAATTCATCTGGTAAATGATAAATCATTATCATAAACTGGATGGTATTTACCATAATCAGAGCTCAGAATTTATAAGGAATCTCCCTTACATGGACACACTTGTAATGTATGGTAATGGTACACTGCAACCTTTCTGCTAGTTGGGGCACTTAAGAGGTAGTTTTCATTCCTACCCAGCCAGCTATTATCACAAAACTTGTAGGAACTTAATACGATTGATAGCTATGACCCTTTCTCAAATTTGTCTGAAAGCAGCCAACAAGTTCAAGTTACAGGGAGGGGAAGCAGGGAACAGACACAGACATATATGCACATACACAACCCATGGTCATTTAACCTTATATTCTCAGGAAGCAAGACTAAAACCTTCCTTGTCTTTAAGAAATCAAAAGATGAAAAAAACCTCTTTATGCAAGCTTTGCTCTTCATAGCTTTTTGTTAAAATGTCTTTAAAATTTCACTGTAAAATGCAAAATCACATATACAATTAAATGCATTTAAACATACGTAATTCGAAAGAACATATTAATACTAACATGTATTGCACTAAATTTCAAGCATGTCTGATAATATAGGAAATAATTTAACTCCTTTTTTGGGAACCAGGTAGCTGGAAAACTAGAAGTATGTAGAGAAACACAGTTATGTA